GCTGAACACCTTTTGCGTAGAACACCTTTCTGCGTAGGCGGCCTTCGGCCGCACTTAGGTATTACAACCCTCACAACGTAGAATTCTCCTTTCTGTGTTGGCAACGAAAAGGGGCCGAACACCTTTCTGCGTAGGCGGCCTTCGGCCGCACTTAGGTATTATAAACCTCACAACGTACAATTCTCCTTTCTGTGTTGCCAACGAAAAGGGGCCGAACACCTTTCTGCGTAGGCGGCCTTCGGCCGTACTTAGGGATTATAATCCTCACTACGTAGAATTCTCCTTTCTGTGTTGCCAAAGAAAAGGGGCAGAACACCTTTTGCAGAGAACACCTTTTTGCGTAGGCGGCCTTCGGCCCCGCTTAGGGATTATAACCCTCACTATGTAGAATTCTCCTTTCTGTGTTGCCAACGAAAAGGGGCCGAACACCTTTAACATAGAACACCTTTCTGCGTAGGCGGCCTTCGGCCGCACTTAGGGATTATAACCCTCACTACGTAGAATTCTCCTTTCTGTGTTGCCGGAAAGGAGGGGAATATGACCCCAATCCCCCTACTATTTATTTAAATCTGGGCAAAACAACCTTATCGTATTTTCCTTTTAATCGTACTTTCTTTTGGTCTTACTTTCTACCCTTGGTTTTTAGATGTGGCAACATATTCTGCATGTACTCTCATAATAATTAAACAACAATCAATTTTTGATAAAACAAGTAAGAAAGTCTAAGTTCGGGCGGAGCCGAACATTAAATACCCGGCGCAAGTATTAAATATATGTTTTCCACCTTTTCGAAAGCTACCGCTACATGCTAAGCCGGGGTGTATAAATTTTAAGTAAATTGGCGTCCTTAAATTTCGAAATATTGAAATTTCAAGCATATCTGAAATTTGCCGTTATATGAAAAGCGGCCGTAATTGTAGTCCGATTTCAACAATTTTCAAGAGTTTGCCTTTGTGTGGCAAGCACAATAACCATACCGAGTTTGATACAAATTGCTAGAACGGTTAGCGAGATACATATATGTGATCATAAGTGGGCGGTGCCACGCCCATTTTCCAAAATTTTATCATAAACCTACTTCTTGTTAAATAATTGTTGCAAGCATCAATTTTGAATACACTAGCTGCTTCAATATTTACCGATTTATCGAAGATTTCGTATTTCTCTAAATTACCGTTATATGGGATGTGGGCGTGGTCATTGTCCGATTTTAAAAATTTTCGGTCATTTCGTAGGTGATGTCAAGGCCAACAACTGTGCAAAGTTTGGAAGAAATTGGTGCAGCGGTTACCAGATATACACATGTAACTATAAGTGGGCGTGGCTACGCCCATTTTCCAAAAACTTTTAATTTTCTTATTTTTCGTCTAAAAGTTATTCTAAATGTCAATTTTGAGTCAATTATCTTCAGTAGTTACTAAAATATCGCAGTTTTTTCAATACCATCCGTCCTACGCCCAAAAGAAGTGCATGTACCAAGTTTCGTTAAGATATCTCAATTTTTACTCGAGTTATCGTGTGCACAGACGGACGGACAGACAGTCACCGCTTAGCCGATTTCTCTTTTCATTCTGATCATTTATGTATACATTTGTCTATATCTATCTCGATTCGTTTTGCCTGTTACAAACAACCGTTATGTGAACAAAGTTATAATACCCTTGTGCACAAGTGCGCTCGGGTATAAAAAGATGTAATATACTAAAAGTATTTAAAAGTATTTGTCACATATTCTGCATGTACTCTCATAATAATTAACCAACAATCAATTTTTGATAAAAAAAACTGTAATATACTAAAAGTATTTATTTGTTTGAACGTGCACACTCTAACTGGGCATATATTGAGTGTAAATAACGTGTAAATGTAGAGGAAAGTGCATTATATATTGTAAAATAGTGCCATAGAAGTTGGTTAAAATTACAAACTTTAATAACAAATTCCTTAAAAACTATAAAGTTGCGCGCTTTGAAACTTCATACAGGGAACTATTAGACCCCCCTCTACGTCCCATATTTTCCTTAATGCTGTACTCCGGGGTTACCAATCTAAAGCCCACCCATCTTTTATGTTACAAAAATATAATTTAATGCAAAAAGGCTTTTTAATATGAAAATATATGCTTATTTTTAATATATAC